AGGTGACTGAGTGCGCCGTATGGTAGTCGACGTGAGGACTTAATGTAGAACATGGCAGGGAGACCCGTGGTAGAGCGCAGGATCTGTTCGTTTCAAACAAACACCATGATGAACTCCGGTACTGAGTCACAGGATTCGGGTCAGGAGATTAGCTTTCCTTGTTGAACGCCTGTTCCTTGAAAGCATCCTACTGCAAAGTGTCCTTAGGTCTGATTTTTCGATCACTCACTCCCCGCTCGGAATGAGCTTTTCCATATGAGAGAAGATACCACAAGTCGCACAGCTGGAAGTATACTACTATGATTTGTCAATCGCAGAGAGTGACAGCAGGGTAAGAGCACAATGGAGTGCCCAAGGTCCGTGATGTACGAGCTAAGTGAATCAACTCCACAGTAATTCGGCCGGAGCACTGGAGCCGGCTCCCCCGACTGCTTGTGGTACAAATCTATTGTGGATCTAAATTGTGGATGTCTGCAGACCACATTCCGCCTCCACAAAAAGCACTCCACTTGCTTTCTATCTTTGTTTTATACAAGCTCGTCAATCCCAACGACCAGCACCATCCTTCTCTATCTGGGTATCCGTGTGCCAAAGATAACACTACGCAGAATGAACTCCGTACCCCTTCATCACGTTGCACACACATCTAATCACTTGGTCCTGGCCACATCTCCGGGGACACATGGCATGGACGAAGCTACACTCCGTAAGCTCACCCGTGCAAAGCTGCAAAAATTTGCGAAGGTGTGTATCGCATCTTTTTCTATGAATGCCATAGTAAATGATTAGAAACCAGGAAAATAAGATAAAGGCTAACATGAAGAGCGAGACGATTATCCAAGAGCTCCTAAAGCTCTACAAGGTTGTTCCGCAACAGTAGGTGCCCTTCATGCTCGGCGTAATGAACCGTTCTGATGATAGCTCAGTCAGGATAAAGGGAGTGAAGAGCCTCCGAAGAAGAGGTTGAGAACTAGCGTGCAAGACCAGTCTCCTTCTGGATCAATTAGAAAAACTAGCGAGGAAATTGAAGTCGCTGGTCCATCAATACAAATCATGGACATACCTGTTGACACAAGTCGTGAGTGTTATATACCACATCGTAGTGCAAAAAATCTGACATTTGTCTAGTTGATCATCCTCCCATTAAAGAAGGCTCTCAGAAAGATGCACTCAGTGCAGAAAGAAATGCTCCGATTACAGTAGCCAGTGATGCTGCCAATGTCGCCGCTGTAGATCCAGCAGCAATATTGCAAGGTCCTTCACCGGTACCAGAAAGTCACACTGGGCATCCAGCTCTAGGCAATGACACCAGCGATGCCGATTCCGATTTATCCTACGCGAGTCAGCATGGTTCCCCCCTCAGCTTGCGTTCAGGGACCCCCCCGCTCGAACAACCACAAATGTTAAACCGGGCGGTGGAAATAATGAAACAGATCACATCGGATGATCAGCATATTCTCGCTCAGGTTGCCGTTCTACGCAAGAGAGCAAAAATGCTGAGGGAGCAGGCGAAGGATGTGAGGGATGTGGTTCGCGCAGAGCGGGGTCGACGTGAGAGATTAGAGGCATACTTTACGTACTGGAGGGAGATCTCGCCTACATGGCCGAAGGAATGGATATATGATGAAGGCGAAGAGGAGTAGATCAGAGAGTACCTGAGGACCATGCCATATATACACGCTTAGCGTAAATTCTGCATAATCTCCCCTGACGAATGAGGACACTTTCTTGATTATTGTAAATTATAGAAACACAAGAAATCTTGTTCGTGCTTGAGAGGACATTGATGGAATTGGACTATAAACTGACGACCGTTCTGGCATTCCAAGTTGTTAATAAGAGACAGCTAGCGTATCTACCTGCTCACCAAGAATACAATACGGACCAAGCTTCAATTGAAAGACACCCTCGGAGACTCGTTGATCGTTCTTTCTAATTTCGAAGGGAAGCTGTCTTCCTTCTGCCTATCATATCAGATTGAATGATCTCTGGTTCCTCTGTGATGTGGACAGTTATTGGTTCCATGCTGAAGTCCTCCTGTACACCTTGCTCTCGAAAGAGGTTCGTGATAGTACTCCGTACTTCAGTGGACTTGTCGGCCGGCGACTTGCCACCTATGTCGAAGTGTACTTGCAGAATGACGAGGCAAAATGTGATCCCCTGAACAAAATTGCTATGAGTCACTTGGGTCTAAGCTCTGTAGACTCACCACAATGGGAGTGATAATATCCAGTATGGTCCATTGGCCATTGGATCCGATGAAGAATGTTAAGAGGAGCATAAGGATACTCGTGGAATAAATTGCGCCGCTCTCGATAACGACAACAAAAACAGGTAGAAAAATAGTAAAGCACTCTGGCCTGAAATAGCGAGTGCGATATATGCGCCAAGCATTCAAACCTACATTACTATGGTCAACAAGAGCATGAAGATCAGATGCAATCGACATACTGGTACTGCTAACACTGAGACTCATAGTCAATGCATCGAATGTGGCGATACACCAGTAATCAGCGGGAGGAACATTAGACAGCAGACCGCTCTGACAAAGGGTCCAGATACCATAGTATCCAGTGGCTGCGAAATGTTTCAGGCTAAGACGATGGCCGAATAGTACCTTTCGAGATACTCACACACGCTGGCTAAGAGCATGATACAACCAGGAATGGCAACCAACAGACTTCTGTCGTTGAGCACGTAGCATCGCCAAACCTACGGCCCTACTCAGAGGGGAAAACAAATATGCCAAGTGGAGAAACTCACAGCTATCGCATCGGCGAGAATGGTCTGCGTGACGCAAAGTGCCGTTGATGCAACAAACAATGGCGAAGAAAAGTTGGAATAGTAGTCACTTGCACTAATCGTATTCACTTTGAATACGAATGCCTCCAACGCTCGAACAAAATCAATAATTAAATGCTGAAAGTGATCGTGTTGAGCTATTACCTGCAGAGGTTCGATTACACTAAGCAACTTACGGCTGTCGCAATGCAGAGCAACAAGGTTGCCACTGGGAGAAGGAGCTGCCGTTGAATACCGGTCCTCTTGAGTAGGATGAATAACGTGAACCAGTATAAAGTGAGGAAAACGCCTGTTTGGGATAGCGAAGTTTGGCACCATGACTTTTGTACTAGTGATCGGTTACGCACCGTACAGCAAGGCATCGAGAAACAAACCTAACAAAGCAGCTGTGTCTATAGGAATGCCCATGGTTAGGGCCGTGCCACTGGACCAGTTGAATGAAATTCAAATAGGAGAGTATCCCGGGCGATTTACGTGCACAGAGACACAAACCAGTGTGAGGTTCCTCGGATGGTCGAGCGTAGGAAGCTATGTGAAAGGTCAGAGACTCGAGAGCATAAATATTTCGTCATGAGAAGCTGTGTTGAGTCCATATGAGGGATTCATGGTCGATGTTCGTGTTGTAGTGCATGCAAAGAATTCTGATACCAACTGACGCTGAATGAAATTACCGGCCATCTCCTGACACCAGTGTCCAACTATTCCCAGAGTGGTCTGGTTCACCCGAGCCGTTCGCAACCATTTGATAGCTGCATCAAACGCTGTTACAGGCGACAAACGGCCGATCCGTGGGGTGAAAGTCGTGTTCGCATTTGGGCAGTAATATTAACTACCTCTATTCAATACTTGCGTGTACTAGCACATAGCGGGACGGAACTGTTGTCGAAAATTGAGCATTCTCTTCGAAAGAAAATCTTCAATAACTCACTTACCTCTGATCGGAACAATTTGAATAACCAAATCCCTCGGTGATTTGACCCAACCGGCCAACTTGTATGTTGATACTACTCTGCAGCTGATAAGACGCGCTTGATATACTTATCACAAGCTAGTGGCAGAATCGGTACTTACTGAGTGGGATTAAGACGTCCTGTACGCAAGGGGCGGTGATAGTCACTCAACTCCGACGACACTGGCACGAGTAAATCCTGTATTGATAAGCAGTATTAAGCACCAGTGTGATTACTAACTGGTTTGGTTAAAGAGTTATAATTTAACTCGATTATAACCGGTTAGGAGGTCAGTCAAATGGACTTGTGATTTGTACTGCTGTCGTGTTAGAATGGTTCCTGTATTCCTCTCCGTATCTGGGGCTTGCTTGACTCTAGAAATCCACTCATGCAGCTTGCGCATCTTGTGTTGAGCTTCGTCCCAAACTCCGCATCAGTCGAGCAATCGCTGACTGCGATCTCACTAGTAGCCGCACGGAAGATCAAGAACTCGTCGTAAACGCTGACACTAACATATTGCGGTGACATGGTGAATGTACCCGAGAGCAATGGCCCTCCATCATTTTCGTTTTCGGCTGTTGAACTGTAGTTGCAGCAAGATGCTGGCCACGACGACAATGAGGAATACACACTGGGGTTAAGACAAGTTGTTGATGTTCAGGATGGCATCTCGGGCCCTTGAGAAAGCAGCAAGCGGCGATAAACTCGTTGCGGCGTGCGATATGTTCAATTGGTCTGTTAGGGACCTAGGGTTGGATGGGACGATTTTTGATTCCAGGGTGTGAAAAACATGGAGGGTGATGACAGGCTAATATTAATGTCACACCTGCCCTAGGATGAAGAGAGTACATAACGGGATTGTTCCGAGGGAGCCGCAGTGCCGCACAAAGGAATGCGAAGTGGTCCATCGAGTTCGATTTTCGAATTGGACTAGCTGGCCGTTGAAGTAATTAACTAACGTTAACCTCAGTCACGATTATTCTGCAAAGCAGGACGCAGATAACTCGGGTTAGTGACAACACTGTTAGGCACACCGAATGTAAGCCGTGGGTGCACGCAACGGAATAGCAACAGCGTGATTGTGAATAACTTGCACTATGGTTGGATCAGCGTAGGCACAAGATCCGATAGCCTGAATAGACATAGTGCGGCATGCACTAGTTGCTGGCAGAACCAAAAAAAAAAACACTAGCCACCATGCTGACAGACGCCAAATTTGGACAAGATGCACGTTTTTCAGACAAAAAGTGAACCCGACCCGGATTGAACGGATGACCTTATGGATGTCCAGAACTTGAAGTTCCGCTGGAATCATACGCGCTACCACTGCGCCACGGGTTCATGGGATAATTGGTTACATGTGATTGATAGTACTAGTATTTCGCAGTATCGAGCCACTACAATCCGACGATCAAGGGCAAACTGTGAGTGTTAAAAGATATTCCCCTCCTATAGCTGCTAGTAGCTTATTATATCGTCACTAGCGATATGCCGGGTCCACTTCCGACTTCAGCTTCAGATCTGCCGTTGGCATTCTGAGTGACCTTGGTCCCACCCGTTGTCCACCTCGTTTGCAGCGCGGAGCTTAGAGTTCCTTTTCTTCATCTTCGCGTTCTGCAAAGACCTGTACGGTGGTGAGAGACGGAAGTCAAATAGGACAATGAAACAAACCTATCTTAGCTCTTCGACCTGACTCCTGGCCTCTTCGACGACAATATTAACGGCACGATCATGTTCCTGGATCAAATCAATCTCTTTATTCTTGAGCTCCAATTCATCCTCCTGTTATAGCTCAATGGTGGCAGCAGTAAGCTTATCCCGCATTGCATTAAGATTCTCCATAACCTCGCGTTCTTCTCTCTCCTCAAGTATCTGAGCCCGACTCTCACTCCTTTCAATGCTTCCAGCCTCTTTCCGTCGCTGCAAATCCTCAGCCTCTAGTTGCAACCTATCAGCATGGTAGTAAGAGCCTCGTTCTCCTCCTCGTGTACAACGAGAAGTTGATCGCGCTGCTCGAACTCATGACGAAGTTCCTCGACTTTGCGTGTATATCTGAGATATACGGATTCATCCCATTGCGCTCGACAACAACCTGGACTTTCTTCAACTCCCTGATCTTATGCTCGCGCTCCTGAAGTTGCATCTGAAGATCGCGTTCCCGCTCATGTAGCTGTGTCTCCAAATTGCGTTCGCGATCGTGCAGTCGCGACTGCAGATCGTGGTCGCGCGTTGAGTCCCGCTGAAGACGCTCCAAGAAGAGTTTCTTAATCCCAAAACCATTCTGCTGGACCTGGATCTTGAAATTGAGATTCTGTTTGAGAGCAGCATCGATCTAGTCTGGTGCAAGCTGCGCAAGACGCTCCTCGAGAAATGAACGCATAGTTTGATGGTCTGGGCCATTACCATTGCTGGGAATGGGTGATGATATTGACGGAACACGAAGTGGTCTACCGGGTGTAGTGGGATCTGATACGAATGATCCAAGCGACAGATCCTGTGAGTACCAGCAGGTGTCTGCACCGTTTGGAACGAAAGACATACAGGTTGGGAGCACGGGAAGAGCTTGATTACTCATTAACGACCTAAGACCGAGTTCTTAGTCTATGTACATAGACTATATTGTCCTAGGCATGTCGGTGTTTCCCACAAACCGCGCAATTGACGGGTCGGTGTTGGCGCGGGTGCGGTCTCATTTTTCCAATATCACTCCATGCTGTTTGAGGAGTGTTTCCAACTCTCCTGATTGAAACACTGAATAACTTGAGTTTGAATTATATACGGCGATGCGAGCCAACTTACTGCTTAGGGTAATATCACTCCCACCTACAAATTCCCCATTCACATATAGTTGTGGGATGGTTGGCCATTCCCTGTAAGAGAAACACTTGAGCCTTACTGACAGCATCAAATGAAGTATAACTTACGAGAATTCCTTGATTCCTGTCCTGAGCTCTAGATCCTCGAGGACATTATACGTCTTGAATTTGTCGGGTGAAATGTCGAAAGCGTTAAGGATAGTTGTGATTCCTCGTGAAAAGCCGCACATAGGCTGCTCTGGGCTGCCCTTCATGAAGAGTACTACAGGGTATTCAGTTACTGCGGCCTGGATCTTCGTGCGAGACTCTTGGGATAATGGTCGACGGAACGTTTGCGACCTTAGATAGCGGGAAACAGTGCTCCTGTGGAGCGAAATCTGACAAACAGATTATGATACACGAAATATGAATACGACTGCAGCTGATGAAAATACATACGGATGTCCGAAGTGTGCTTTGGAACATTGCGAGCGAGTTCGACGAGTAGGAAGTTCGACGTCACTGTTAATTCATATGACTAAGCCCTGAAAATGGACGTTCAACGTTCACTGTCTTTCTTTCTTCCTCCTTCCACAGAATCACCAGCATCACTCGCCCACGTTCCTGCCATGCCCTTGACGCAGTAATCTACTCACAACTGCACCCTACTCAACAAAATATAACCACAACCTCTCACAGCCCTGGGCCCGTCATGGAATTGACAGTCAACGTGAACTTCCCACTGCCATCCATGCCCAATATTAATGGCAACCTTGAGCCCAATCAGGACATTTTTCGCACTCCCTCGACCTCCTGCGGCCCTGGTGTTGTCACTGATATAACCTACCCCATTCCTACAGCTCCATGCTCGAAGGGCAACGTTTCCTGGCACGCCAACATAAACCTTTCCTCTCCCTTCCATAAATGTGGCGCTTTCTGCACTCGATCATGACCTTTCTCGTGCTCTCATTAACCTGATGCTTTTGCTACGAGCTACCACAGTCTCCCGTTGCTCGGTACTCACGCTCAGCGCTGACCTCCCGCACCTTCCTATCGTCTTCGCGCAGCCATCTACTTATTCCCCCTATCTGGTGATCGCCTGCAAGTTCTCGTGGTCAGCACCCTGATTCTATGCTCTTCGCCTCATTGCGTTTGCACTACCCTATACCTATCTACGCATCCTTTCGCTTCATGTTACATTATATAATTAGATACATGTTTTTTAACATAATGATATTGTTAACTTGAGCTGGAGTTGAGTGTTGAATACTTGAGTGCTGACTTGGTTCCGCATACACCACGAGAAGAACACTTGCGAGAAGCAGGCTTAAGAGTTATGGTTAGCAACTATAAAAAAAATACTAATCTTGTGCATATAAATTCATACAAAAATGAATGTCATATGAACTTGACTGACTACGCTACTGATGCTAATAGATCATAATGCAATATATAATAATACTCAACAGACAATACAGAAAGAAGAAAAGACGCAGAGGGGATGATGTACAGCAGGTGGTGTCCTCAAATATGCCCTGAAGCGAACGTGTCAAGGTGTCTAGGATCTTGAACCTTGTGAATGGCGTGAGGATGTTCAGACTTCTTTCTGGGGTAATGATTGAGGGAACCGAGCCAGCTCATAATCATGACTGGGTGCTGCAAACTCATGTTAGAGATGTGATTTCGTATAATGGGGTGGGTCTGAATTGAAATTAAGAAGTGACCAATCAGTGCAACATGGCGATTAGGGTTACACTCAGCAAGAAACAAAGTGCTTGCTCGGGCATATGTAGCCTATGCAGGCTCCTTAGTCTAATAGGCAGGGCCCCGACTTGTAGGGAAGTGCCCCAGATAAGCGAAACTCATCGCTGCGAGTGTTTGCTTCTTCCATTCACACTTGAGGCTTTCCGCAGCACTGAATGAATTACTGCCAATAACGGAAATGAGCCTTCACTATCACTTGAGGTGGAGTGTTCTTACAAACCGTCCTAATTCGAGCTATAAACGAGCTGGTCAATGAGTGCCACTGGGCAACTAAGGGTGACAGTCACGACTCGGAGTAGTCGAACTGGTGTGCCAGGGCCGCCGCTAGTGGATGAATATTTTAGGCGTCCAAAATTTTGCCCACAGGTAGATGCACCCACCTCCAGTCCAGTAGACATAAACTAAGTCTTACACTACCTGTTCCCTGGCATGCCATACAGCAACGCATCAAGTACGGCGGTAGACACGCGGAAAGGATCGATTCCAGTACCAGCGTAAGAGTTTTCATCTTTCCCACCTCTCAAACATTCAAGAAGATGTATCGGTTTAGATATCGTCATGCAGCACCCTCGGGACCATGGCCATGGGTAGATTTCAATACCGACCTTTCATCCTCTGAGCCGCCACCTCGAAAGGGCGAACATGAATGGTGCGGATACCCGCAAGAACTTTTCGGTAACTGGAGTCCAATTCCAGTGGCACGAAGCGGGATGTTGACGCAATGTGAGCGCATTGTAAGACCGTGCGTCATATACGGTATTGATGTAACGAGCGACGGTCAATTCAAACCACGGGAGCAAGGGCTGTATCGCGTTGAGGTGTCAGAAGAGAAAGAAAACGAATTCTGGTCGAAGTTACAGGAGGAGGAAAGTTTTATTTTATACCCCAGCTCGCTCAATCAGTATGAGTGATCACGACTAAATCAGGTTCGGAAGAACATCCGCGTTCGAGTGATATTCGTGGATAACTTGTCGAAGTCTGTGTTGAAGATGTTGGGGACGAAGTTCGTACTCCGGCTTGGATGTTTTCCAATTTGGCACTGAAATTTCCTTTCATAGATATAACATCGAGCCATTCTTCTTCTCATCCTCCACAAACTGGATTCCTTCGCGATATCGGGAAGAGGTTCGACATGGAGTGGGGGATCGTACGTCTGTTGTAACTGCATTTTGGTCCAGAGGTTGTTAACCTGTTGTTCCGGGTAGATATCACAGTTATCCTTCCTTTTATTCGAACCACGGAGAAGAAACAGAAGGCACATCCAAGCTTACCAGGCATGACTTCGACATTTGTTCAATAGTTAAATGTTTCTCATCACAAAACATACAGAATTGAATGAAAGGAAGCATAATATAGATGTCATAACACCCCTTAACTTACACGGTAGCAATCCGTACTTGCCTTTACCATTATTTTGTCTGAGTCCTTTCATAGGCGAGCATGTCCTTCTCATCGACCTTCTGGCAGTTCATATGATACGCGAGAAGAATTCCTCTACCATAATAACGTACCATCCTCCGCTGCATGATCGCACTACCGCCGAGCGCTTGTGTCAAGTTATGGAGCGCGCAGGTGGCAGTCTTTACTGGAACAAAATATTCATGGCATCTGAAGATCCAACCTTTTTCTTTCTGGTAATCTTGTGGTACGCGCTGTATGCGTGGGATGAGACATTTGAAGTGCTGTATAACCGCATCAAGGATTTGGTGTGTTCACAATTTGTTCGAGTTGTGGGGAAGGCTCATCATATCCAGGAGGTAATATTGAATGCCTCCGACTTTG